CTCCAATGGGATGCATAATCAGCAAGCATGAGCAACTGTCCCAAGCCGTTAAATAAACAAATGCACACTGAGGGTTATAAACTGTAATTGGTATAGTTAAGCACAGAAATAAAGGATCAAACAATTATTAACCGGTTTAATGAGCCATGAGCAATAGGTCCTGACAGTAAAAACATAATGAATATATATATATATTACAGTAATTAGTTATAGATGAAAGTAAAAATAAAAGATGAAAGGACGGGTATTATAGGGGTGAACTGAAGCCATAAGCAGTTTAAAATCCTGACAGTAAAAGCAATATGCAGTAAAAGTAAATTTGTAAATGATTTAAGGAAATGAAATGAAATGGGGTTTAACGTCCTACTCTTCTGCACCTAACCTGGGCTAATTGAAGACGGGCATACGCCATACAGTGTGCTATGAGGGAAATTTTGCCCGGGCAGCGGCGCTACGGCCTACTCTTATATCGAATTCCAACTGCCAAGGGATCTTTTACGTGCACGCCAATGTGTACACGGGACCTCGGTTTTTCGTCCCATCCGAACGACTAGGCAGCTGTCCTTGTCAGGCCCTCCGTTCTGCATCACTGACAAGGGGAAACCACGCCGGAAAATCGGCCAATGCAGGGATCGAACACCCGACCTCCAGGCTAGCTGATTTAAGGAAATGTACAAAATTAAAAAAAAACAAACCACTAACAATATTAAAATTAAAGGGTAATTGCTTTATGGATAGTTCAGCGATCATACCCTCTTGGAATGTAAATTCCTGGGTCCCTGTTTACTTTTGATTCATGCCTGCGTATATTAACAGCTTCATGGGTTCTTCGGTTTCGTTTGTTGTGGCAGTTAACAGCTAACTTTTTGACGTTTTTCCAGTTCACTCGGTGGCGCGGGTTTTCAATAAGGTGTTCGGCAATGGCAGATTGGTTGGTGGGTGTTTTAAACTTGTGTTCTTTATTTCTGGTGTCTTGGGTCCTTTTCGATTCTCCAATGTATGATTCCCCACAGATGCAAATAACCTGGTAAACACACCATTTTGGTGCGGGTTATCTTTCCATTTACTTTTATTAATTCTTTGGTTGTCTTGCCTTTGAGGTATGTGGTTTCTATCTGTGCTTCTTGTTTTAATAATCTTCTAATTTGGTGGGAGATGTTCCCGTGGAAAGGTATAAACACTCGTATAGGGGCTTTGTCAGGTTTTAGTTTATCTGGTTTTGACAGGTCGGATATTGTGGAATTGATAATCTTTTTAATCATCTGTAGCGGATACCCGTTGTGTTTGGTGAAAACGTCTGTAAGGTGTTGTACTTCGTGGGGAAGTAGTTCAGGATCACAAATATTTTTAGCTCTTTTTGTTAGGGCGGCGATGACTGCTGCTTTAGTGCTGTTAGGGTGGTTTGATTTGTAATGAATATACTGGTCCGTGTGGGTTGGCTTTCTATATTCTGAGGTAATTATTTTAGATTCCTTCCTTGTAACTAGTATGTCTTTTTAATCATCTGTAGCGGATACCCGTTGTGTTTGGTGAAAACGTCTCTAAGGTGTTGTACTGAGGTAATTATTTTAGATTCCTTCCTTGTAACTAGTATGTGTAGGAAAGGAAGGTTGTTGCTGGTTTCATTCTCCATGGCGAACTTGATCCTTGGATGTTGGTTGTTCAAATGGTGTCGTAGGCTGCCAGCATCATCTTCTTCTTTTATCATGACAAATACGTCATCAACCTTACGAGACCAGAATAAGGGTTGGAATGGTGCGGTTTGGATGGCTACTTCTTCCAGTGACGTCAAGAAAAAATCAGTGGGGATAAGGGACTGCCCATTGGTAACCCATGGATCGATCTGTTGATAATAGTTGTCACCCCATGTGAAGTATGTAGATTCCAGGCATTGCTTGATTAGACAGATGATGGTATCAACTTGTAAAGATGTTTCCAGTGGCGTAGAGAGTTGGCGGATGCGGGTTTCTAGGACTTTGAGGGCATCTTCTCTTGGCACATTAGTAAATAGATCAACAACATCGTACGAGAGCATTTTCCCTGGGTTTCTTATCTCTTTGAGTTCGGCGCAAAATTCAGTGGAGTCCTTAATGAACGAATCTGCCGTTTTCCCTAGTGGTGAGAGTAATTTTGAAAGATACTTGGCTGTTTTGTAATAAACTATAGAGTCTATAGAGCATATCAGGAGTCTGGCTTTAATTGGATCTTTGTGGATCTTTATTGATGCTCTAGCGTATGGTGAACGGGGGTGGTCTGGTTTCAGTCTGTTATGGATGTTGTCAGTGATCTTCTCATCTTCACAGAGTGATTTCAAAAGCTTAGCATAATCTTTAACATGGTTGTTGGTAGGGTCTTTTCTAAGGCGTCGGTAGGTTGAGGTATCATTGAGTAGGTCTTCCACAATGGTGTGGTATTCATCTGTATTCATCACTACCGTTGCCCTACCCTTGTCAGCTGCTACAATGGTTATCTTCGGATCACTGTGAAGGTCTTTTATAGCCCTTTTCTATTGCAGGGTTATGTTGCTTGCTTGTAAACTACATTTTAATGATGCGATCATACGCTCTTGGAATGTAAATTCCTGGGTCCCTGTTTAGTTTTGGTTCATGCCTGCGTATATTAATAGCTTCGGTTTCGTTTTTGACGTTTTTCCAGTTCACTCGGTGGCGCGGGTTTTCAAATAAGGTGTTCGGCAATGGCAGATTGGTTGGTTGGTGTTTTCGCCACGTATTCTTTAATTCTGATGTCTAGGGGCCTTCTCAATTCTCCAATGTATGATTCCCCACAGCTGCAAATAATCTGGTAAACACACCCTTTTGGGGAGGTAGATTTGGTGGGGGTTATTTTTCCATTTGCTTTTATTAATTCTTTGGTTGTCTTGCCTTCGAGGTATGTGGTTTCTATCTGTGCTTCTTGTTTTAATAATTTTCTAAAAGCCAAACCACAACAAAAATCACATACACGAGTTATCTCTCATGAACCTCCGATTTGCGCCCAAAGCAGTGAGGCTTCCTAAACTCAACTAAATTGTTATTTTGTGTTTCTACAGTCAACATTTTTGGAGTTACTCATGGGTGTTGTTTTGGAGTTTTTTGGTAATTCGACGCGCCCTACGTTTTCATAATCATGATGCATATATTTGAAATGAATTCCGGTAGTCTTTCAAATAAATACACCTACAGCGCCCTCATCTGGCCTGTGGAGGGATCAAAATAGTTATTCGTTATATTATAATGTATTATGCATTTAAAATAAATTAGTTTTGTGGGAGGAATCGGGGGTTTTCGAAGTGAATTCCGGTGATTATATGTGAATCCCGGTGATTGTAAATGAATTCCGGTGAACTTCGGTGAATTCCAGTGATTAGTCGGAGTTGAGTTGACTCCTGGCGTGTGATTACCGTTTGGCGCATGCGCAGTTGTATGAGTCATCTCACACCGTTACAGACGCGGTGTGCATCGACTCCAAGTGATAGGATTTCCCCTAAGATTTTCTTACGAACAAATCAATTTCTAGACTAGGGGAGGGTGTCGGTAGAGTGGTTCAGAGACTCAAATTTTTGTCCTTATAAAAACTGACCCACTTATCTGACTAATTGCATCATCGAGGACATTTTCTGAAGTGAGCAATGTTTAATCCCGCGCACGTGATTTTGGAGGTCGCAGCAAATATACGTCACAAATAGCTTTCCACGTGGTATTATACAAACATGTATTGGTTTATAAAGCCAAGTAAAAATACACTCATTACGCGCTTCGACTTTCGTGTTTATTAATAGCGAACGTGAGCAAAAATTTCGATTACAACTTTTTGATTTAATTTTTGATTTTGGGGCTTTTCGCGATTTCGGTACAGAACTAGCTGTAATAGCTTCGTTTCATTTCTAACTTTTAAAACCATGAGCGTGGCAAGTTAAACTCATTTTGGGATTTACTTTTATTTAGTGGTTACAACCTTCGTTTGCGTGGCGCTCTATTTACTTTTGGAAATAAATATTTGCTAGCTCTAAATACGCAGAACTATTTGAGACCGGAAAATAACCGAAACAAACTTTTTATTGGTAGTCTTTATTTTCCAGACACATTTCGGTAACATGGTGTAAATTACTTTCATAATCATAGTACCGGTATCTTATTTAATTATTCTGTAGCCATAAGCTTTGATCGACGGACTTAGTTTTTTTTCTAGATTTGAGACAGAACCCTGCAAGATGACGTCCACCGATGATTTGCTATCCAGCATTGGATTGGACAATAACCCTATGATTTGAGCACTGTAACCAAACTACCTATGGCAAAAATTACAAATAGGCTTATACTAGGCATTGTTAATAAATTCCCGACAACTACGGAGCATCGGTCTATCATAAATGCTTTAAACAATTCATGTCAAACGTCGATCTTTTCATATCCAGCTAAACGTGTATTTCAATTTCCACTGTAGCATTATAAACAGTTAATATTAAGATATTTGAAGACGTGGGTATATTGTTAAAACAACTAAGCATTTGCGCATGCGTACACATGTCAAATTCAATCGTCTCATAGAGTGTATTCTGTTACTTCGCAGCATGGAAATAAACGATGTTTTCCAACTGCGATAATGAAATTTTGTTTCAGGGGCGTCCGTAAATTTGTCAGACTTCCATTGTTGATGAATGAAGTCTTATCATATAATGTTAAAATAATCCCGAAATAGTGTCTGTTTGTTGTAAAAGAAATTGAGCATGAACCACTCTAGTGTCAGGTTTCTGTTTGTTTATTTTGATAAGATGTGGAAATGCAAATTGACGATCTTTATTATTATTCAGTATATTCCCGTCCACAATGCGAACATTCTCCCTTGTATTTGGGCTGTCTGCATGCATGTTTAAATGTATGGGATGGTGTAATAAAATCTATATTTATGTTAAAGAAATCGGTGTTTTAGATATGGTTTGCATGAGAAAGGATTTAAATTGTATTTGAGTAATAAAACACATGCTATATTGTGAAGTTGTAAACATTTTAATAGGAAGTACAAAATTAAAATAAAAATGATACAGAGAAATCCCAATCTGAAAAGCCAAATATTCAGTCTGCAAAATAGTTGATTATTAAAACATAGTTAAAACATCAAAAAGTGATTTATAAATTTTTAACAAAAAAATGATTGATAAATTTTTAACAAAAAGGTGATTTATGCATTTTTAACAGAAAAGTGATTTATACATTTTTAACAAAAAAGATATTACACCACTGGAAATTAAGTGATCCCTTTCGTTACTTATTTGTGACTCAATATCAATGAGTCAAACGCCAAGCTACATCCTGGTTTGATCCAGTATGGATAATTTTATAGACAGATTTTAAACATGCATTATGCAAAAGCTAAATCTGCCTGTTGTGGGTCTTTCTTTAGCCCACAATTATAAATTCAGACAAAATCCAGGCCATAATCAACTCTTTATTGCATCAGATTTCTTTGTTATTAAACAAATTAGAACGGTTTAGCCATATTTTGATTCAATTTGAAAATGGAGAAGCGAGACTTAACTTCAACAACCAGGACGGTGGTTGCAATTATTGCACCTTCAAAGGCTAATATCTCTTTGCTCGAAATAGAGTAATTTGAATGAAATGTTCAAATTATTCATTTTACATTATCTTTTTTTGAGCTATTATGGCAAGAATGGTCAGCTCTTTATCTAAACCTTACATAATGTATCTTTAATTACATAAAACACCCTATACGAAAGCATACAGTACATAAATAGTGGATGATATTTAAGAAAGTATGTAACAAAATATAAACAAAAGGTTATGAATACATTATAATCGCTTAGACTAAATATGAAAAATAAATCTTTGCAAATGATTTTTGGGGTTTATTAATATTATTAACAAGCATTTATATAGTGGCATTTCCACAAAAGTGTCCAATGACACTTTATAAAAAACATAACAGATTATTAAAAAAAATTGACAAAACAGATAGATATAAGATTAAAACATACAATGTGAATAAAGTTGAGTAAAGTTTTGGGACCCTAGTATAGATCATACCTAAGGCCTTTCAGTGATTGTCCTCATTGAACCATGTAATACATCAGCACAATAAACAAATAAATTTTTACAAGCAAAGAACAAATACAATAAAAAAAGTTATGTAAGAAAAAAAATATTGACCAATAATAAAAATACAAACTATTAACATTATATACATTCATCTATTAACATTGCTATTCACTCCCACTTGTCATGCCATTCTGGCTCCTGCATTCTTCGACAGTGGTAGCTGCAGTAACCAGTGAAACCCATTTCATTAACAAAGCTTATATAATCCCCATATTTACCCCTCTCACCCCAGTATCCTGGACGCTCTTCTTTATATAGCATTTCACAAAACCCACATTTCTTTAGTTTAAATGGCACATAAAATTCTTTATTTTGGTAACCTTTCTGATAACTAATTGGTTTAATACCTGGAAAAAGGTTAAATTTTTAATTTTTTAATGAATATACATAAGTGATGTCATACAAGAGATATGGTTTATTTGGAATTATAATTTATTAACACATGAATATAGATAAAGGGATGTCAGATTTCTTGCCATACAAGAGTTAGGATTTTTTAAATTCTAACGAACCATAATTTATTACTATAAACATAGGGTGAAGTCTGATTTCTAGCCATAAACAAACGATTTTTTTCACATATTAATAACATATTTTCATATTAACTTACTGCGTAGCCAGGCGAAATGACAGGTAGATTTAAAAGATTGTCTGTTAATCACTTCTGCAAATCTTCTGTTGAATAATAACAATCTTAGATATGCTTCGTCACCACAAGTTAAAACAACATTGGAAAATTTCACACAATACTCCATCTGGTAATTATGATATCTAAAATACAGAAAGCAAAATGACAAACATGCTTAAATATAAAAGATTTACTATAATAGTAATATTAAACGGAAAACAGTAAATCCCAATCTTAATCATGAACTAAAAACATATAAGCCAAAATTAAATCAGTTGAATAATTGATTATTAAAACATAGTTTAATAACCACTGGAAATTAAGTAATCCTCAGTCTTGCACCACATTGGAAAATCCTGATGAACTTTCTCTGCCAATGCAAGGACCAAACACAGGACATCCAGGTTAGTGATTCAACATCTTACTGAGACACCGTGGTTCCTCATAAAAATGAACCATACTTTATGTGTACTTACATTCAGAGAAGATTGGTTTCCTTCTTTGTTACTTGATTTCTCCTTTGGCTATAATCAAGTTAAATTAATTATAGATTAAAATCATACATTTCCAAGCATAACTACTGGCACTTAATTATTGAAAAATTTAGCCCAAAAACTACTAACCATTGAAATCACAAATTACATTATAACCTCACAATTTGGGCAGTAAAACGATACTTGCTCGTAATTTTAGGAGAATCCAACACATGACGGATGAAACCATTTCAAGCATCTTTCACGTTGCCAAAAGAGTTCTCCATTATCTTTTTTTTATATATATATATATATATATATCATATATAGCCTATATTTACCTTTGTTATGTCGGAGACATACTACTACTATATTAAAGAAGGTAAAGCATCACTTCCATATAGTATATCATCACTTACTTATAATCTGTTTAATGGCTTTTGCCACAGACTGAACAGCAAACCACCCATATTCCGTGAAGAACTGTTCACAAGATGACATTAAAGAATTATCCAACATTAGTTGTTTGTTCTGTGTATATTCTGGCTGAACTTCGATGTCCTCCTCATCCGCCTTGTAATTTCCTTTCATCACAGATTCGGCTGTAGCACTGTCCAAGAGTCGATGCAATAATTCTGTGGAAAATAATGAAATGTAAAAACTAGTAATATTTGTAAATCTTATAATTATATCATATATATACTATTAAACTATTTCAACAGCCAACACTGATATCAATTATACAGCGAATTGCCAATAATGAGCTAACAAACTGAAATGTACCATAAACGATCAGCTATGACTCAAATTATGTACCTACCCTGAATTTTAATACCATTCCCATTTTCTTTCTGGACATTTATACCACTTGTAGTAGGTCTCTGATTATCTAAAACATTCCATGCTTCTTTCTCAATATTATTATTTCCACTCTTAGAAGGTGTCTGAATATCTAAAAAAGTTTATTAAAGGTACTTCATTTGATCTATATGGTTTCAACTGGCCATAGGGCACTTTATACTTTAATTTAGTAACTGGGTTTGTGATGGTCTCCAATTCCATACGTTGTGCAGAGTCGATGGAAATTATTCTGGAAAAGAAATTAAAAGCATTACTTGCAGATTTCCATTGCTAAGTGGTGTATAATTTATGAAGAGTGATATAATAATTTGGTAGTTATATTTTTGAAAGGATGATTATGTCATTTTACCTGTAGGGGCCTTTTCATTTCGCATCCATCTCCTCTCCTTTTCTGCCTATATTTTTGGTTTCTTTTCTTAAAACAATATCCCTTTCAGAAAGCTGAAAGACCTTTACATTGTTCCCCTTTCTCTTTTCAAATTTAGCTTTCTGCTTGTTATGAGCCACACTGATATTATTTAGTACCTAGAAAAGAAAATAACATTTACACGTCAGAACTTTGTCCACTTACATAATTCTTCAAGGTATTGTACCCATTTAACATTGTCTAGCTGACCATTCAGTCTGTACACAATAAACAAACATTCCAGATGTTAGTTAGCACTTGTCCAGTTGACCATTTCTGTCATAAAAATGTTATATGACCATCACCATATGTATGAATCAAGACTGTTGTAGAAATACTAAGTTAATATAACAATAGTCAATAATCCTTACCTGTTCATGTATAACATTTTGGTTTCCCTCTCTGCTGGCCACTATATCATCAATGTCTATTTCAGGTATATCAGTGTTATCTATTATCTATAAAGGAAACATATAATATTATTGGTTTAATGTATGAAGTAAAATTAGTGTACTTTTGTTCACTGGCTACTTCTTTTACATACATAATATAATATACACCTATGGATGACTTACGTACCTGTTGAGGAGTTCTTGGGTGTCGTCCGAACATGAGGAAAAATGATGTAAATTTGGTTGATACCTGTTTCTGAATTCTCATCGAAAATGCCACCTCATCTTAAATTTCCCCAATCTTGTCTTTAATGTCTTGTTGGTTCGTTCATCTAAACCATTTGTTTGTGGGTGGTGGCACTGGTTATCGAATGTTTAATGCTAAATTCTTTAAACAACTCTGCATTGACCTTTGAAATACGGTCAAACAACATATTACAAGGGTGGCTTGTGGGTATAAGGACTGCCATCATACCTATAGCTTGTGTAAATATCAATTAATTCGCAAATTGACTATTAAATATGACGGAAAATATTTCAAACAATAATACTTTTTTATATACTTGTGCTGCTTAACATTGGATGAATATAACAAGTAATATTTTAATAACATATTGGCCAGCAGACAATACGTCTTTTCTAATAAGATTGTTATCAAAAATTGTGTACATGTACAGAAAGTCACTTACTTGCGAAACAAATTCACGACCTTGGTCAGACAACAGTCTTTCTGGTGCAGCCCATCTGAAAACAAAATTACTACAGGACAGACATATTAACTCATAATAAATTATGATGACACTATTAAGTGTTTTTTGTCTGACGTTGTATGAAATGGCTGATTTACAATTAAAATATGCCTCCCAATAAATTTATATGAATTAGCATATCTAAAATTCTATAAATATACCTGCATATAAATTTCTTGATGGCATTGCAAATCCCACTCGCTTCCTTAGACTTCAAACGGAAGAAGTCAACAAATTTTGTAAAGTAATCTGTCATAGTTAGGACATATTTATTGCCTTGTGAAGTAATTGGTAGTGGTCCTGAAAGTACAAATGATATTTAGATTTTTCAGAACAATATTTTAACAATATTTTTAGAAAAGCACAACAGCGACAAATATATAAGATACATGACCCACTAATATCTACCATATTGGTGAAATTAGACAATCTGACCATTTTTACTTTTTCAACATCATTGGACGACCTTTATTTAAGTTACCGGTAGTCTGAAACAAAATCACTGTCAAAATACACACCAATAAGATCCATGCCAACGTTACTAATTCCAGTGGGTCTTTCACTTTGATACTCTGTAAAAATGGAGCTTGAGTATTCATTTCGTTGACAGCTGCCACAGGCTTTAATCTGAAATTGGGACAACAAACTCAATATAAAATTTATACCCAGTTTTGTTTTTAATTAATACTTAATTTTGTATTAAAAATATTGCATACACCAGTTGGGACATTATAAAACCAAGGATGTTGTTTTCCATAACATTTATCCCGATAAAACAATCATAAACATAAACAGCTGGCTATCAAGACATGTATATATAGAACTATTGATAGTTGATACCCACAAAATCATTTATGTCTTTGGTCATTCCAGGCCAATAAAATCCAGAAGAAAGTTTAGCAAGAGTTGCATTTCTGCCACTATGGCCACCCATTGGTTGGTCATGGTACTGTTTAATAAAAATGACAATTCTTGTGCTGTCAGTGACGACTTCCTGTTTACATTTCCCACCCACATAGTAAACACGACCATCTGAAAAATTAAAAAAAGATAACACACAAATATAACATGTGTCATATTATTCATATATAAAGCCCGATGATGTTCCGATGCTTTAAAACATACAGTGATTTATTGCTACAGGACTGGTAAAAAAAAATCCATCTTGTTGCTGCAAAAAAGAAAGAACTGAGCACTGTAACCAATATCATTGGTAATTGTAGTTACCATGTAGGTCTCTGACAAATAGGTCAATCTGTTTGGATGGATTTTTCATTGAAATTAAAATTTTTCGCTGTTGCATATTTAGTTTTTCAAATATTAAATTAGTGTTCATGTAAGCAAAATATATTAACTAGGTTTTGGAATATTTACTCAAATTGAATTAAAACCGGTTGACGAAACCATCAGCAACAGAACATATCATTGTTACTTTCGTCAGAAGGCATACCTTAAGCTAATTGAAAATAGCCAAATGTGCAGTCGACCTACCTTGAATCACATGTGTTTTTGAATGATTTCTCACGTGGTTTTTTTTTTGTTCAAGCTTTGTAGTTCCAGGTTTGTGGCGCTAAGTACAATTCTATTCTTTCTATCTTTTCACGGAACTGCTGAAGTCGAATCTCTCTTCCACTTGTAATATCTGCCATGGTGATGATCAATCAATTTACTTCTACTTGTTTACTACGAATGCGACAGTCAATAGATAATGAGCGAATATGTGTGAATTAGCTTTATTTAACGTCCGTTCCGCCGAGGTGATATCGCAGATAATTACATGCTATATATACGTAATGAAATATTTGCAATGTGATTAGTGGAAAAGGGAATAGATAACAGGACGAGGCATGAGATAACAGGTGCAAAGAGTAAAGAAGTGCCAGTAGACATTGACAAACAGACGAATTTGTGACAAAACAGACATGAATATGGACGAACATTTAGACCAGCATAAACATTTACAGACATGCACGCAATACGGACATTTGACAAAACATACATGAATTTGGACGAACATTTAGACATAGTATGTACATACATATATATATATATATATTTGGGTCGTTTTCGTCGGTCTGGTCAATGTGTCCGGTTGAATGGCAGGGCGGTGCAACTCTTCCTTGGGGCTTGTTGGTGAGTGTATGGCCTGGTCCATTCTTCCTTCCATTTGATTTTGTTGTCCGGTATGGTGGTTGTTGTCGTCTTTTTTTGTTATTCGTTCCTTTTGTTTATTGGTTCTCTGAAGGAAGAATCCTGTACCTGAAAAGAAAGAGATTATCTTGTTTTATAATGGTTATGTTTCGTTTAGTAAGGCTTTGGCGAGGGGAGGGGGGTAGAAACTAATAATAAACTAATTAGGTTGAAAAAAAAATTAAGGTGAAGTAAAGTAAAAATAAAGATTAAAATAGGGCAAAATAAAAAAAGGTAAAGTAATAAATTCAACATGGCATTCTTAATCGTGTATTCACACGGCTGATCGTGTACATGTATATAAAAATAGTTAAAAGAAGTTCTTTATTTCAATTTCTTTTGTAAGTACAATACAAAATTACATGGATGTACAATCAATCGTTATTTAAGTATATATTTGATATAATATAATAATATAATAATATGGGGTGCAAGGTGGTTTGCGTTACCCTCTTAGGGGGACATTATTGCGCACCACCCTGCTTGGGTTAATTTAATTGGTTTGTGCAGGGCGGAACGCTTCCCTTGTGGGGACCTTTTGCGTCCCTCCCTGCTCTGTATTTTTTAATTGATTAGTTTGGTTGCCAGACGGGTTACGCTTCTCCCCAGTAGACATTGTTGCGTACTACCTGACTTACGGTTATCATTATATTTGTTTTGTTAAAGTTTGATTAGTAGTGTAGGGCGGTGGCGTTACCTTCTAGGGGACCTTTTTTGCGCTACGCCCTACTGAGTGTATTTTAAATGATTAGTTTTATCATTATATGTGTTTGGTCACACCTATTTCCTCAATGAAATCCCAGACAAGCTGAGATGTCCAGTATCTATGGCCGGCGGGGGAGATAGGAGAGAATTGAGACAGTGTTCTTCCCCTTTCTATCAATTTGTTTAATCATTGATTGGCGTTCTTTCTTTAGTTGATTGCAGTCGATTAATAGATATGAAGTGGTTGCAATATGACCACACGGGCATTTGATAGGTGTATAGGCGTAGTCTTTGATAGAAGGATGATTAATGTAAATGAAATGAAATGAAATGGGGTTTAACGTCCTACTGTTTTGCTCCGAACTGGGCTAATGAAGACGGGCATACGCCATACAATGTGCTATGAGGGAAATTTTGCCCGGACAGCGACACTACGGCCTACTCTTATATCGAATCCCAACTGTCAAGGGATCTTTTACGTGCACGCCAATGTGTACACGGGACCTCGGTTTTTCGTCTCATCCGAACGACTAGACAGCTGTCCTTGTCATCACTGACAAGAGGGAACCACGCCGGAAAATCTGGATGAACTTTCTCGGCCAATGCAGGGATCGAACGATGATTAATGTAAACCTCGTCTACAAGATTGCTATCTATTTGATAGTGATGGGTGTATTCTTGTTTTAGACGGGATTTTCATGCATTTTTAATCTTCTCTTTTGCTATGCTTGCGAATTCATGACTGCTATATTCTAAATTGTCTATTTCATTTTGTGACAATCCCTCCTTCGCCAGCTTGTCGGCTTTCTCGTTGCCGAAGATATTGACATGAGAAGGGATCCATGCAAGGATCACCCCCCTCCAACTGTTTTTAATTTTTTGAATGTGGTCCCTGACTTGGTGGATTGTTTTTGAGGAGTTTGATTCTATAGATTTGATGATACTCAGGGAGTCAGACAGGATTACGGCTTTTTGGTGTGTTTGCGTAGCTAGCCATTCCAGTGTAGATTTGATGGCCATCAGTTCTGTGGTGTACACAGAACAGTGTTCTGGTAGCCTTTTCCTGATGTCCAGCTTTACTTGGGGTATGTATATGCCGTATCCTGTTGCTCCCTTTGTAGAATCTTTTAGACGAAAGACCGAAGAAATTTATCGTTTAAGTTCGTTGCAACAACCTCTGTGGGAGATTTTAATTTTTTAAATTACACGTCTCTTTGTACTAATTTAAAAAAACAGATCTCCACACATTCAGCATGTGCCAGTATTTAATAATTATTTTTTAAAAATGGAATTCTTTTTAACCTAATCACCTAAAAAATAAACATTACACGCGTAGGAATACGCACTATGATCAATGCCGAGTGCCATTTTCGCCAATCAAAATAAAGAAAACTTCTAGCCCCGATCCTTCAATCATGGCGTATATAGTCAACAAGGACACATTTTCCTGGCATTCTGACCAGAAAAATGAAGTGTCTTATTCATCAGAATGCAACACAGCCCTGCAAGTTACTGGTTTTTAACGACAAAACCTGGAGGCATTGTGTGGAATATTCAAAACAGTGGCAGACTTTGGATGGAGAAGAAAAAAATAAAAAACATTGCAATCACGTATCGAGATGTGTTCGAACTCGAAGGTATGTTTGTATGTTATTATTTTCTTAGTCTTAGTATTTAAATTTTTTCTAGGCTGTGAGTGTTCACGTTGGTTGTTGTTAAGAAATATATAAAGTACTTGTTCACAATACATGGTATCACGCAAACCAGTGGTGGGCAAACGTTCAAGTTTTAAAACAAAACCGAAGCTTAAACTGGTGAAGGGCAAAACATTTTTATGAAACATAACTAACAAATTACATTAGTCATTAATTACAATGTCAAGGGTTATGAAATATCATTTTCAATAAAGTAATATTAGAAATATTTAAAATTACATTCTTATTAGAATCATTTAGTCAGGTTCCATGGAACTTTGTCAAATTTATATTCCGTTGGTGATTGGTCTAAAACAAAACCTGACGTCTTGTGGGAGCATAGTTTGGAATAGCCTTTCCAGAAAAATCAAAGGCAATTAGTCTAACCCGTGAAAAGATCTGCAAAGATTATTGATCCTACAGGCGGAAATGCTATTTAAATAAGCAATTTTAGATTTTGATTTCATTTAGAGATTGCATTGCTCCAAAAAAATTTAGATGTAGGGATCTAGTGGGCCGGTTAATTGGGCTTCGTAGTTTTAGGCGATA